CCAAATTGAACGACAACAAATTGAAAAAGAATTTTCAAAACTTAAAGATCGACTTGAAACAGCAGTTACTCAAGTAACAAATTTTCAAACTAATGGCGTACGATTCTTTCCTTTTTTTCTGCATTTTGTTTTAAATTCACAAACATTAATTTGTTGACTATTGTTTTTTAGACACAAATCTTACGAACATTATTTTCTGAATCTCGTCAAATAGATGAACAATTATCTGGGCTTATATCTCAATGTTTAGCATCACTTTGTCGTTCTCGAACAATAGTTAATTCAAAAATAAATGAATTTTTACAAAAATCCGAACATATTCAATCTGAATTAACTGATCGACAAATCTTAATACATAATACACAATCATCAATAAAATTAATGCTTGAATTAGTTAATACACTTAATGAATTAAATATTGAAAATTCACAAGATATAACAATAGCTATATCAGATTTTGAAAAACGATATCAAGAATTTACTGATCTTTCACAAACAACAAAATATACTTTGGATATTGATAAAGAAATGAATGAAATTCGTTTATTAGAAAATGAAAAAATTCGATTAGAAAAAGAATTATTAGAAGAAACTATATTACTTGAAAATATTTCTACTATCCTAGGAAAATCAATTATTATTTAGATTTATAAGATATCTTATTGGTAGAATTTTTTTTAAAAACTTGTTATAACGTTGTGTTGTTTATTCATGTATATTTATAATAAAAGTTTGTTTTTATTGATATGATGATTATTGAATGCTAGACTCAACAGAAAGAAATATTGAAACTTTTTTATGAGAATATTTTTTCAAATGAACTAAACGCTTTCTTTTATTATTATTTTCTCTTTAGGTTCTCATCATAATTAAGTGATATAAATATATATATATATTATTGGAATTCGATTGTGTTTCATGAAATCTATAAGTAATTGTTATGAATATGTTAATGGTACAGTCAATTTTCGAATTACATCTCATTGAAATTTTAAAGTTTTTGAACCTTATGAAACCCGTTTAGTATCATCATTTTTTATTGATTTATGCAAAGATTTCTTCTGATGTGACATTACCCAAGAAGACAAGAATTTGGAAAAACGCGTTTAAACCCCACAATCGGGAACCGCGATTGTGATTCACTCACGCTCAAAAAAATAACGCCGCTTTTTGCATGTTTTGCGTTTTTTTGGGCTTAATTTTCACTTTTTGGCCGCGAAAACAGCGAAAACCCCACTTTTTGAGTGCTAAAACGCTTGATTTTTAAGTTCCAGAAAACTTCAGAAGTAAAAGCATGTTTT